GAGACCCAGGCAAGCAGGTGCACTCTAAGCCACGCATGGCAAGAGGGAGGATATACTTGGCATAGGCAAGGAGGGTGGAAGCCCGAGGAACCTCCTGTCTGATCCACTCACTGCCACAGCCAGAGAGGTCCTAACATGTAAAGGAGAGGGCATCACCTTCTGACTTTAAAAGCCCCAGTGAGGCTCCTTTCTTTAGTTAACACGGCCATACCAGGCCGGCCCATGCTCAGCTCAGCTCTAGCCACTCAGCCTTCCTTCTTGTTCCCCAAACATGCCACCAGGCCTTTGCATTTGATGTTCCTTCTGCCTGGAATGCCACTCCCCCAACTCTGTGCATGATGGCTTCATTCTCAGAATCTTGCTCTGCTGCAAAGCTGCAGTTGTCCTATTTACTGTTTGTTTGTTCCTGAATCGTCTTTCTCCCATGAAAGCAAGACTTTATCTTGTTCCCTACTGACCCCAGCATCTAGCGCAGTGCCTTGCATGTAGTAGGTGCTCAGTGGACATTTCTTGAATGAATGAATGCAACAGAAATACAGAGTTACAGATGGATCACCCAAATAAAGACTGGGAACAGACTGGGCCAGCACTTGTGATCTGATGAGAAGAGCAGCCTGCGAGCAAGGCCTGAGTGCAAGCTTCTCAGGAAATCCTGGGAGGGGAAGGGAGTGTGTGAACCATGAGGGGACTGCCTGGCTGCAGACAAGGGTAGAAACAGACAAAAAGGAACCAGTTTTATCAAGAGTCATGTAGTCGAGCCCTGGTGGCCAATCAGCAGGTATATGAGACCACAAAGAGGTTGTTAAGATCTTAAAGGTTACTTGTCAGGGTGCCAAGGGAAAGGTGGGCCTCCAAGGCAACCCGCACCCACTCATTCATTCATTCATTCACTGGTATTAACTACACTATGTGCAGCGAGGGAGGAGAGCTGTTCTAGGGGGAATGGAGGCAGGAATGAAGACAGGGTAAAGGAGGTGGGGGCTGCCTAGGTCTGCTGGGCCTCAAGCCAGAAGGACCTCCTGAAGGAGGATGACCAGCCCCAATGAGAGGATGCTGTGCCTCAGGCTGCAGCTCTGGGCAGAGGCAGGAAGGGGAGCCAGATGACCCTCTGCTGCTCTAGCTACAGCCACAGACACAGAAACCAGATCAGGGAGGATCCCTTAGTCCATATGCCGCTCCAGCCTGAAACAGGGATTTGGGTCGAAGGTGAGCTTTCACTCCCTCATCCTTGCACCCATTTGCCCACAATCTCTCCAAGGCTCTGAAGGCTAATTGTGCCCTTGTTTCTTGTAGGCTTGGAGAAAGTACAAGGGTCAGCACTTATCTCTATAGGTGCATGGGGCAGGGGCATAGTTCTGGGTAGGGGATGGCTGAGGAATTGACAACAATTTGCTGACCTCAGAGTTCCAGAAGTGAAAAAAAAACAACACTGTAAATAAAACACCAAGAAAATTCCTGCAGGGCACAGGGGCCAGTGGTTAGGAACATGGGCTATGGGCTTAAAATCCACCTCCCACCTCTCACTGGCTCAATGCCCTCAGACAAGCCCCCTTAGCTTCCCTGAGCTTGTTTCCTTGTGTGCAAAGTGGGGGTAATCATATCACTGTCCTTCAAAGTGCTGTTGAAGAAGTGAAAGAGATAATGTATGTGAAGAGCCTGGTACACAGTGGGTGACCCATACATGACAGCACCCATTAGGGGCCAGTTATGTGCCAGGCACTGCTGGAGGGTCCTTCTTTCTGCAAAAGAACCAGGCTGTCCTCTTCAAAAACGTCAAGGTCATGAAATACAAAGCAAAACTCAGGAACTGTCCAGATGGAAGGAGACCGAAGAGGCAGCTGAAAGCCACACCAATTTGCTTTCTTTTTGCCATGAAGGGTGTTGTTGGGATAACTGACAGACTCCCAGTAATGTCTACAGATTAAGTGGTAGTATTATTTCAACATTTGTATGCTGATTATGATCATTGTCCAGTAGTTATAAAAGAGAATTTCTTGCTTTTAGGAAATATACATGGAAGTATTTTAGAATATAAAGGCAACATGTCTGCAACTTACTCTTAAAATTCTGAGAGACAGAAAAGGATAAGGCAAACATAAAATGTTGGCAGTTGGGGGAGCTAGGTGGAGGGAATCTGCTAATTCTTCATATTAACCTTGCAACTTTTTTGTAATGTCTAATTATGAAAGAAAAAAAATGCCTGGTCCCTGCCCTTGCAAGGATGCCAAGAGGTGTTTGCTTGGATCACTAGTGAGGCCCCAAGAGTGGACTGAAGCCAGCCCTGCCCCTCTGACAGCTCTTGACCAGACCTCACAGCCTCAGGCAAATAGTTAGCCTTCATTTGAAGCTACTCATCTATCAGTGGGATCAGAACCCAATGTGTGAAGGATGGATGGATATCAGGGCAGGTGTGTGGTCCCATCAGCCAGGCCACTTCACGGCTGAGGAATGTGACCTACAGCACAACTCACCCCAGCCCAGCCTCCCTGGCAGGTTGACGGCTGCCTGGGGCTGGCCCTTGGGCAATCCCACACTGCTCAGTCACCAGGATGACCTCCTAGGGGACTTCCCGCCTGAGCAAGGAGGGGCAAAGGTACTATTGTCAGTCCTCACAAGTCACTGTACGGCGCCTCCCTCCTGTCCTTCCCTGACAGATGCTGAACATCTGGTCTACAGACCCCCAGCTTCAAAGGGGTCAGAGGAAGGTAAATGGGGTCTGCACACAAGCTTTGAGTTCCATCCATGAAAGCCTAGATTCAGGCCATGATTATGACGAAGATATGAGCTTGTAGGCGGCAGGCTGTCAAACACCCTGCAAGAGGACACCGCTCCACGTAACTCCTGCGGCCACTGTGGGGCCAGCTGTGAGTCAGGCTGTGACCTTGGCTACCTTCTTAATTTAGAGAAGCGGCAGCTGCCCAGCCAAATTAGCTGCCCCTTGTTCTGCTTCAGGCCGCCATTCACATGCCTCACTCTGCTCAGGTTCCTTTGAAAGCCAAGTTGGCATATTGCCCTATGGATTTGTTTGCTTGTTTGACTGCTTTTATGCCATGCAAGTTCAAACACTACAAGCTCTGGTGAAAAGTAAGTCTCCCCAGACCCTGACTTCTGTCCCCCCATCTGCCTCCTCTGAGACAGTCATCATGGCCAGTAGCTGGTGGATCCTTCCCAGAGACAATGACCACATACGAGCCCACACTAGAAATGCCCCATTCCCCACGAATGTTAGCACAGCACACACGTGGCTCTGCACTTTGCTTGTCCGACTTAATCCTCTTGGATGTCTTGCACATCACACATAGAACTTTGCCCCCTACGGTTGTGTATCTTCCAAAGCGTGAATGGACTCAACTGATTTAACCAGTCTCTGTTGATGGATAACTGAGTTATTTCTAGTCTTTTGTAACCACAAACAGTGTATCAGGCATCTTTTTGTGCCTGCATCTTCACCTTCACTTACAAGTAGCCATGAGTATTTCTAGAAATGAAATTGCCAGCACTATCACTTTTGGATTGGGGGTAGGAACCAGGAACCCCTTTGAGAATCTAATGACAAGTAAGAGTCTTCTCTCCAGAAGAAACCTATATAATTATTTTGCATTCATTTTTCTGGAGCCTGGTGCACCAATTCCCCATTAAGAAATCGAGGTATGGGGGGGAAATACATATAAGAAAATTGCATCCAACCATCACTTTTCTGCATGTGTATGTGTGTGTTTTGATTAGGTCATGATACAGGAGGCAACCAATTTGTTCCGCTGACAGTCACAGAGACAGCTAGCGGAGTCTAGTTCAGATGGCAGAAGTCAGATTCCTTATCACGCTCCATCCACCAGGGTACATACCTTGCCCGGTCGTCATGCTCCTTGACCTCAGGCCCCCAGAACGTGGCCGCCACTGAGCCGGAGTGCTGGGCTGGGGCGGCTCCTCACAGCGGAGCGGAGGGCCTGGGCCTGGCCGGTTGCTGGCCCTGCCTCAGCTGCCACCTCAGACTGAAACCAGACCCTCCGTCTGGAAGGCTCTGGAGCTCACACTCTTGCTTAGGTATGAATATTTTATGCCTGCAGCCAATAAGGACTCGGGGTAACAAAAGTCTCCAGGAAAGCACTGTACAGAGAGCACAGACTGCACGGTCTCATTCTGGGTCCATGTCAGACTGAAGGGATTCCACGGGAGAACAACTAAAAGGAGGCAGAGCTGAGAACAGCCTGTGGCTGGTCAGAGTCCAGTGTCAATCGGCTCGGGGTCTGACTTTGGTGCCCTTGGGAGCCAGGAGCTTCTCTTGGGCAGTGGCCACAGGTCATATCCTGGTGTCCAGCTGGCTCTGAGGGCACTACCCACAGTGAAGACATGGCAAGTGCTGAAGCTGGAGGGCCAAGGGCCCTGGCTGCCCATCTACTAGACATTCACCTGACAGAGTCTCAGGCAGGGCTGTTCCGGCAAATCTGGAGTGCAGCCAAGAGCTGCCCAGTGCCTGGCCCAGAGGAGACATCTGACACCTGTCATCCCTTCCCTCACTTCCCCCTTTGATTCCAAGTTCCTGGAGCTCAACTCTCTCCAGAGCCTCGTGCTACCTATACGATACCTCACAGGGATTTTCAGGACTATGGTCTCCCCAGTAACATGGCCATTTTCTGAGGCTCAGGAGGAGTCGTCAGCTTGGATCTTAGCAATGATAAACCCATGGATGGTCAGAAACTCCCCTACACTCTTGAACCACAAACCTTCAGATGGGCAGAGAATGTGTCTCTCACACTGGAAAGGAAGAAACTAAGAACTCCCATTTCTGGAACCTCATGTAAGAGCTATAAGGTTCCATCCCAAACGCTAAAGCCATTTTGCCATCTGTGGCTTGTGTACCAAGGGAAAAAAAAAAGAAAAAACCTAACATAAACTGAGCACTTACTACATACTAGGTAGCAATGTAAGCATTGTAGAGGGGTTAACTTATGCATTCCTAACGACCCCTCAATGTAAATTCTAGGATTATTATTTTTCAGATGAGGAAACTGAGATACAGAAAGGTGAAGTTCTTGCTTGATGTCACACCGCTGGTAAGTAGTAGGGCTGGGACTTGCAACATCCCCATTAAGGAGAATGGAGAAGCAAGCAGCTGTATGTCCCTCCACCTCCTCATTGCCTTCATCCCCATGGTGGAAACCCCCACTGTGCCTGTCACCGAGCAAGTGCTTTACCTGTGTCATCTCATGTCACCTTTGCAAATGCGCCATAAGGTAGGAAGTATGGCTTTGTCCCTTCCCAAGGCTGGGAAGCCAACATGAAGCAACTGGCCTAGCAACTCAGCAGTAGAGCCAAGATTTGGCCAAGGGCTGGGCCATCTTTAAAGGCCAGGCCCTTGCTGGGCACTGCACGAGGCAGCCCACGTGCAGACGTGACTGTGAGGAAATGGAGCACGCAGGGGAAAGGCCAAGCAGGCAACATGGGCAGCAGGAGGGAGGTTTGTGGCGAAGTCTCAATCTACATCTCTGCCAAGAAGATCTGCTAGTCACTGTCTACCTGAGTGTGGCTCCCCTGAAGAGGCAGCCTGGAGTGGGGCCCAGTGGCTCTGGGCTGGGGTCCAAGCCTGGGGTGCTTGTCCCAGCTCTGCCCTCCCTGATCCAATCTCTGCTGACCCTGTGTTTTGTAATACAGGAGCAGGAAGCAGGGCCAACAGCATAAACCCTTATCCATAGTGGCTTTTCAATAAGTGCCTGAGGAGCAGCCCACTCCCCAGGGTGGGCACTTGGCCACCCTCGACAGCAAGCCCCTCACCCCCAGCAGAGTGTAGTGACCATGGCACCTCTGATGCCAGGTGCCATGGGGCTACTTCTGTACAAGCCACTTGCTATGGATTAAAGCAGACACTGTTGCTACACCCATTTTATGGATGAGGAAACTGAGCCTCAGCAAAGTCAAACAGCTTGCTCAAGGTTACCACAAACCCAGGCACAAGGCCAATTTATCCTGTGGCTGCAATAAGCACTGTGCTCAGGGCCCAAAGTACTTTGGGGGAGCCCATGAAAATGCTTTAATTTCACTTAGAAGGAAAAAAAAACTTTTAGGGTAAAAAAAAATGTTTTCATATATAAGTATTAATGTATTCATCTTTACTCCAGTGAAGTGGTAAAATATATTTTCTGATTGCTTTTTGTAATGGAAAAGGGACCTACCTACAAAGGGAAAAGTGCCTAGGGCTCATGAAAGTCTTCACCCTGAGTAAGCAGGACCTGAACCCAGCCCAGTTCCCCTCAGAAGACTGAGGCTGTCAGAGAAACGACCTAGCCTGTCCTGCAGTTCACGGGAGCAGCACCCAGTGTAATCTAGGGAGCTGTCCCTGGGAGGGCCACAGCCGGAATGGCCCCTCAGCCATGAACACCTGTCCTAATGGCCACTGTCCCTTGTGGGTAAGCCACCTAGGCTCAACCCCTGGCCTTCCAGAAAAGCCTTTGGAGCAGACGAGCGCATGTCAGCGGTTGAGTCATTCACAGGGAGAAGGTGAGGAGCAGTGTAAGCCCTGGAGGTGCCTGCCTTGGAGCAGCAGGAGAATGACAAAGTTCATTCAGAAGAACATTCCAACTTTTCTTTCTTACATGAAAGAAAATAATAAATGACCTCAACCAATCGTGGGAAGTCTGTCTTTGAAAGTTCAGTTATAGCCCAGGTAGACAGAGAACCCTAGCTTGGGAGTCACAGAGACCTGGGTTCGGGTCCTCACTCTGTCATTTAGTTTGCTGTGTGACCTTGAGAAAGTTACTGTACCTCTCTGACTCTGTTTTCCCTTTTGGAAAATGGGAATAGTAACAGCCCCCCATCACCACCACATCCCATAGGATTGTAGTGAGAATTGTCAGAAATAAAATGCTTCCTATATAGAAAAGCAGACAAGCAACTAAAATCCGGATGAATATTCATTTGCTTGGGAAAGAAAAAAAAAATTGATCCTAATACCCCTAGGGCCTGGAGTAATTGCTGTGCTTGTGGGCTTACCCAAGACATTGATAAATTTGGAGACATCAACAAAGCTTGCCATAACCAAAGACACACCAAGAGGTCAGCCTCCTTTTCCCTCCCAGTCTTTGAGGAGATAGTTTAGACAGGAGGCAGTGGCCTTACTAATGAAAGAGGAGCATCACCTCTAATTAAGGTGTCACCAGAGTCAGAAACTCATCAGCCCTGGTGACTTACGCCACACCTGAGCCTTGCAAATCCAGGATTACGCAACCACAGGCAGAAACCCTGAAATTAGAACAGAGGCCTGAGTAACAAGCAGACCTGTGGGTTCCTTCCAGGTGACCGGTATTGTTGCCCAGCAGGTGAGCCTGTCTTACACTAAGACTCAGGCTATAGTTAGAACATCTGCTCACACCAGGGTGGCTGAACCCTGCTAGGGAACTCCAACAAGGGAATTTCTCAAGGCAGTCCAAAAGCACTTGGCAATAGGCAGCCTCTTCCGATGACAGCACCCCCTGGGCCCCTCTCCCAGAGCAGTGCTTCTCCCCCAGTGAGCGCCATCACCAGGGATGTTAAAATGCAGCTAATGTTCCGGGCAGCTTGAGATTCTGCATCTCTGACAAGCTCCCAGGTGATGCTGCTACAATGGGGGAAATTGAGGACCTAGATGGTCCTCTGGCCCCACTGACGCTCTGGGGGCTTCCCTTCACCAGGGAGCTCATGGATCCTGGAGCAGTTTGTACTCCAGGACTTGGGATTCAAGAAACCAGCAGCACTCCTATAAACCAGCTCCTCATGATTTCCTTTTCTTTTTTTTTAGGGGGTGGGATGGGGTATGAGATGAATTAAATGTAAATATTTGTGGCACGGTAATTTATTGATAAGTTCCTTTCCCCCTGGCCTCCCAGCACACCCACTTCCCGGCACACACGCCCTTTTCAGGCAGGTAGCAAGACCCTTTGGTGCTGTCTTGCTACAGAGATTTTTAAATTACAACTGATGGCAGTAGTCAGGTCTTTCCTTTTAAAAACAGAAGGCTCTGGATAGAGCCCAATCCTCTCCTACCACCCCTTCTCCTAACCCTGCTGTAGGACTCCCCTGCTCATGCCTATGAAAGTATTTTAAAAGTTGGATTTTTGCAGAATCATCTGAGAGTGGCTCATCTTTTCTTTTGTAAGACTGTAAGCTCAGGCACCTAGGATGGGGAAGGGGACAGTGGCTCCCCCTTCCCATCTTGTGCAAGATGTGGTGGTGGGAGGAGTAGTGATGGTGCCAAAGGGAAGCCTGGGGGCCTTCAGCCTCACCAGCAGCTCCACCAGGACCCCCTCCCTAATTCTTGTATACAGACGACTTAGGGATGACACTGTAGGGATGTGGGTTCAAGCACCTCAGGGGCTTCCCTACACTAGGCAGCAGGGCTCTGTGCGGGCTGAGGCAGCCAGGCAGGGCTGAACCTCAGAGAGAAGCTCTCAGCCACGTCCTGGGCTCCCTGTCCCAAGCACACTCCACCTGGAAGCAGCCCCCACAGGTCCCCTGGGACCCAAAGGCTGCTGCAGCCATGGTGGCAGCATCAGAGACCATGACATTGAAGTGCACAGTCCCTACCCCAGACTCTCCGTGAGTTCCCCGTTCTGGTGCTACCTGGAAGGGGGAGGGGCTCCAGAATTATTGAAAAGGAACTTATGGCCGCCCCTCTCCAACAGAGCCTGGGGGCAGAACTAGACAGCATCAGTAACAATTTTTAAAGTGGTGTCGCACCTACTGCATGTACTTAGTTTACAGATATTCAATAGTTAGAAAAGCATTTACCATTCTACTTTGAAAGTAAAACATATACTGTGGCTCAGGAACATGCTGTCAAAGAAATTGATAAAAAATTGCTAAAGGTTACCATCTGTTAAATAATCTTAGCTCTGTTTCTTAGTGGAGCTCTCCTTGTTTCAGCTATTCTAGGCCCAGGATATATTGGCTTGTTCCTGAGCAAACTGTTACTTAGCATTACTTAAACATAAAATCGATAGATATAGGTATAGATACAGATATAGCTATAGTAAAGGTTACACACATTGTATACTACATTCATTATTCAGTTAAGTATTCATCTTGACCCTTTCTTTAGAGTGTTAAAAGTCTGAAATCTCTGTAAAATAAAAATACCTTTAGATGCCACCTGGAATGGGTGTTTCCTCTTGGTGCCTCTACTCTGCGGAAGCAGCAATTAATTAGCAACGCGCAGGCCTCCGCTATTGCCGATGCCCAGTGTTCTTTCCCAAGGAAGGAGATGTAGGAAACAGTGGGAGATACCTGCCTGTGATAGCAAAGCTCAGAAGATTTAAAAAAAAAAAAAGAAAGCTTCCTTCTTTCACATTCCTCTTTGCGGAGAGACTGCCTGGATCTGCAGGGCCCCTCCGCCCTGTGAGTAAGAACAGGGGAAGATTCCCTCTTTTGTGGGAGGCACAAAGTCATGGGAGAAATGCTGCCTCTTCCCCAAGGCACTTCAGCACTGGTATTTGAGTCAGTGATAGGCGATTTCATCATCAGAAGGTTTGGCAACAGAAAAAAGAAAACCAAGAAACTTCTTTTGAAAACAAGACTCAACTTTAAAATATCAAAATAAAATCAGCTTATTTGTCAACAGGGGGGGGGAATGAACATTTGTTTCTCACATCCCAGCTCCAAAAGGTGAAGTTGGAATGCATTCTAAAAAGCAGCTAAGACCTGTGTCTGGAAAGTTAAAGCACATATCTTCCAGGGATGACAATTTGGCAGTACAGTTTTCCTTTGTGGATTTCCTGCAGTGACCGACATGGATTTAATAAGCACTGTCATCATTTGGGTAGTTACCACATGCCAGCATGTTCTGAGGCATTTCATTAAATGATCAGAGCAGCCTGACGAGGCAGCACTACTCTTGTTGGCTCCACTTAGTAGACGAACAGAGGGATTAAGTGACTGATGCAAAGTTTCATGGCTCATAACACTCCACCTCAACCCAGGCACTTGATTCCTGTCTCCAGGCCCTTGCTCCTCACCCAGGAGGCACTGAACTGCGGCGTGAGACCCAGCCCTGACCTGTGCATGGGTCACAGATCCCAGCAGAACACAAAGGTCTTTATCTGACCCCCCTGGTAGGGCTAAAAGCATTATTTTTTCTTGAGGAAGAGCTAAACTTCCTGCTTGAGAAGCTGGAAAGCTCATACTAGGTCAAAAAGGGGATTAATGGTAGTTTTTCTTATCTCAGGCTGAACTCTCTACATCTCACTGAAGGACTCCAAAAAGGCACAAAAGGAACACAAAACTGTGCACCCTTGCTGCAGAAGCATTCTCCTGGCTTTCCTCTCAGCCCTTTAAAGATGCACCATCCTCTCTGTTAGCCTTCACAAACCAGTGTGTGGCGTGTGAGTACTTGTGAGTGTGTGAATGTGTGTGCATGTGTGTGTTTGGAAAGTGTGACAGAGTTGGGCAAGGATACAACAGAGGAATTCAGTCAACTCAACAGGAAAAAAACAATCTCTACACTGAAAATGCAGCAGCAAACATGAGATTGGGTTGCCATGGCAACCATTTAATTGACATTTTCATTTTCCCAGCGTTGATTCTGGACAGGTGTGGAGAGATGAGTGTCCTCGGGGTGTGTGAGGATGAGGGTGCACCCATTTGTGGCAGTCAGTGTTCATAACTGGGGGCCAGTACTGCCCCCAGATAAGGCCCTGGGAATCAGGGTCATGGACAGTCAGTGCACAAGAACCCCTGCCTCCAAGCACCCATGCCAGGCACAACATTATCACCGTGTAGCAGAGGTAGAAGCGATGATATTCCTGAGCTTCCTCATTGCATGGATGGGGTGCTGAGGCTCAGGTGGAGGGTCAAGCTGAGCAGCTGTGGCAGAGCCTTGCTCCGACGCAGGTCTGCTGACTCCTCATGTCTATTGCACACCACCTTGCTGAACCGGGGCCAAGTAGAAGGGGTTGGGGAAAAAGCAAGGTGAGGAGGCAGCACAGCACAGCTTAAATCCCACGACAAAGCAGGGCCATCTTTTATCTTCTAAGGAGCAACTGTTCTCTGCACCAAACCAAATCTGCCGTCAGAGGACAAAGAACAGAGAAAGGGGGAATGCAGGGGGGAAGGAGGGCACCACCCTCAGCCAGCGATTGGAGATGGAATGAAATGCCGATTTACCTGCAAGAGCAGCTGCTGTTTGAACTACAAACCTCCTCCCAGCAGTCTGTGGGATTCACAATTCATGTGCCCTGCGAGCTGCACAGTGATCCGGGAGGCAGCCCTGGCTTGGTCCTCGCAGCCTTGATGCACACAGAATACTAAGCACTCCCCAGGAGTTCCCGACATGGCCACCTGGTTACAGCTCTGCCCGCGCTTGTCCCCAGCAATTTCCCTGAGAGGCGAGGCTTCATGCGTATCTGTTACCAAGCGTCTGTAGGCAGTGTTCAGAAAGCATAGCGCCGTGTGGGAAAATATGAGCCGTCAGCAAATCGTTTTCATGGGAGCAGGAAAATCTTTAGGTGGAAGATATTGCTTTGATGACTTCCCCGTTAGGAAAGAACAGGCTGAAATTGCTACAGTGCTGCAGCTTCCATTTTCCAAGAAGCAAAAGGCTTTCAAGAAGCCCATTGAGGTTAGACACTGAGGTCATCACAGCTGTGCTTAATACATTTCTTGACAGGTTTGACATTGTCATCTATTCCTGCCTCTTACAGTTAACACAAATCTCATCACAGAATGATTGAATGCGACGCAGTGCCGTTTGAACACCAAGCAGCAGAAAAGTACCACTGCAGTGGGATGCCTGAAGCTCTGAGTGGAACGGTCACCGGGTTGAAACTGCCGGGGGAAATTTGCGGGAGGCCTGGGTAGTCCCATGCAGAGGAAAAACTCAGTGGGTCTCTTCCTAAAACCTGAGAACAGCATTCTGGAAAATAACCCTAGTTTTGGGTGGTAGCCCTCTCTGGAAATATTCAAGATTATTTGTAATTGTCTCTGTAACTGAAAGTTCAAAAACAAAACCCTATAAATCGGAGATCTCCCCCACTGTTATTCCCTTCATTTTATTTTAATTCCATTGAAATTTGTTTTAAAGCATTTCCTACGATGTAAAAATGTAGGCATTTTGGCAAACATTGATGCTTTGGACTCAAATGTAATCAAAGTGTCAGGGTTATTTACCTGAACTTACTCAGTTCCAGGTTTTAGAATTTTTTTCTGGGTCTAAAATTCCACGATACTTTTGTAACACTCATTGGTCCATTTGACAGTTTCTCCACCATGTTAAGCGCTTTCTTTTTCATCACATTCTTTTTCTGTTGGCAATGCCACTCTAAGCTGGCTAATGGATCCTCAAGTGGCTCCTCCTACTGGGTCATCCCCTCCCCCAGGCCTTCTTCCCCAGCCTTCCCAGTCTCAGCAAATGGTCACAGTGGCTAAAGTCAACACCGGAGAGCCAGTACTCTCATTCCTCAAACCCACATGGCAACTGTTAGCAAGTCCAGTGGGCCCTACATGCAGGACAATGTCAAACCAGACCCTCTCCCACCACTCTCATCCTAGAGGGCCTCAGAAGTCGCCTCACTAGGGTTCCTGTGTCTCCCAGTGTCCCCTCCGCAAGGCAGCCAGAGGGACTTTGTGAGAGCATAACCTACAACATGTCACTTATTCAACTTGCATTTGACAGATATTTACACATGCTGGACCAACCAGCACTGTTCTAGCACTTTCTAAAACTTGCTAGACCTTTCATTCTCATCAGGGAGAGGACAAGCAACAAAATTAAAGAGTGAAATGTGGCATGTGTTAGAGGATAAGAAGAGCTGTGGAGAAAAATAACACAGAGATCGGGGACACGGAGGGTGGGGAATGGCTGAACTCATTCCAGCCCTTTAAATTGGGGTTGTAATTTTAGATAGGGGGTGGCCAGGGACAGCTTCACTCAGAGGGGCATTTGAGACTGAAAGGAGGTAGGAGAGTGATCCATGCAATACCTGGGGGAAGTTACAACCCTCTGAGACTCCCTGTCACATTGAAATAAACCCCAGATTCCCTGGCATCACCCATGAGGTCCTATAGGACCTGCCCACTGGCCTCTCTAGTGCCCTTTGCCCTCTGTTCTCCAGCCTCTATGGGTCTGTCACTGTGCCAGGCACTTTCCCATGTCAGGGCCTTTGCTATGGGTGCTCTTCTGTATAGGCCACTACACACACACACACACACCTATTCCCCATTCTCCTTTTCTCAACCCTGACTCCCGCCCATCCTCAGGGCTTAAAGGTGGGTGTCACTTCCTCAGGCCTTTCCTGACTACCTCCAGTCTCCCATCATCCCCTTCTTTCTGCATTTTATTCTCTTCATAGCTCTTATCACCACTTGAAATTATCTTGTTTTCTGTCTGCCTTCCCCACTGGAATGCAAGCTGCAAGAGGGAGAATTGTGGTGGCCTGTTCATGGCTGGTACAGAGTAAACATCCAATACACATTTATTGAGTGAAGCAATCTATCGATCAAGCAGAGCTAGCTAACAGTCTTGTAAATAATTAATACAATCCAGGCAGCAAGTCAGGAATGCCTCAAAAATCAACCAACTCCCCCTCTCAGACTCTGCTGTTTTATTAACAATAAGAACAACAATAGAAATATAAGCAATTCAATAATTCCGTTTCAGAATTCAATTCAATAAAACAGTTCAAAAACCCTAAAAACTTGGGCATTTATTCATTACTATCTCTTTCATCCTCGTGACAACCCAATGAGAGATAGTCCATTATTCCCACTTTAATAGGTCCAAAGCTGAGGTTTAAGGGATATTTTCTGACTTGCCCAAGATCACAGAGCCGGCATAGGGCAGAACCAGGATCCAAACACCGAGCCACACAATTGTATTAAAATTCCTCTAAATACACATCCTGGAGCTCTTACTGTGTGCAAGGAACTATGTAAAAAAGAATTCCAAAGAAAGCTTATCTCATGGGCAAATTGGGACATTTCAGATAAAAGGACTTTCAATTCTGAACCAGTTGACAGAGATCCAACCATAGTATAGTCCAAATGTGAATAAAACCACCAATTGTTGAGCACTTACGGTCAACTAGGCCCTGGGCTATGCACTTTCCGACATTACCTTATTACTGTGTATTCTTAGCACTGCTTTACAAATAGAGAAACTGAGCCATGGGGCAATTAAGGACCTGCTCAAGATCCCATGACCAGGTAGTGACAGAGCTGGGTACTGAACTCAGTCCTGGCCCCTTAGATATTGATCACAGGAAAATCCTAGCACTCTGTGGTTTAGATCTGGTCAGTTGGTAGGAGATGCGGAGAGCAGAGAAGATACTAGAAATGCGTCTATCTGGCAACCTTCGGACACAGATGTAGGACCTGAAGGAAAGCATCTATACTCCATGCTGAAGAAGGTTCTTTACTTTATCTGTAGGCAGTGTAAGCCCCGTGGCAAGGTCTGGTAGTAGGCTGCTCCTTACCTGTAAGTCATGGCCCGTCGTCTCTGAGACCAGGATGCTTCCTGGGGACAGGGCTTGGGATCTGGCAAGAATACCTCTGTTGGAGATGCTGAGGCTGGGCCAGTACCAGCTGTGACAGCCAGGGGCCTCCTGGCCTGTGCTGGGGTCTCTCTCCCACTCGCCTCTCCATCCCCTCCACAGGACCCAGCTCTTGAAGCTCAGCCACACCAGGGCTGGAACCACAAACATGACAGCCTGTGGCCCTGCTCACTGTCTCAGGCTGTGAGAGCAGAATCTTCCAAACTGGAGCCTGCAATAGCCTGTGCCCTGGAATTTTCTGCTTGGTTCACCAATTCCTCTGGACCAGCAGTTGAACAAGGCGGGCATTCAGCCCTTAGACCAGCAATTAAAAGGCTTTGAGGACAAGACCTCCCTCAGCTTCCGGCGAGTGTCTCGGCTCGCAAGGGTCTTGAAACAAGGTCCTCTGAATTTTCTAGCCAGTGTGTCTCTTCTGAGGTCTGTTTGGTCTTGAGAAGAATTGGAAGTGTTACAGCTGGTGGGGTTGGGGTGAGGGTAGAAATAAAATTCAATAGGCTTCTAACATTCAAGTGCAAGCTCAAGATGTCCAAAACTGGATGTCAATTTTCACACTGCCCCAAATCCTACTTCACCCCCACCCAGCCTTCCCATCCCAACTAATTGCAACCGAATTCTTCCCATGACTCAAGCAGAGGCTCTGCAGGCATCGTGGACCCCCATTCCCTTTTACACCCTATGTCTGATCAGTTACAACTCCTGCCAGCTCCACCTTCAAGTATGACCCAGCATCTGACCACTTCTCACCACCTCCACTGCCCCCACCGTCTCTGCCAGTCTGCTCCGCTGGTCTCCCAGCCCAGCCCTTGACTATCATCACTTCTCATCACAGCAGCCAACAGCGTCCTGTTAAAATCAAAGTCAAATCATGTCATTCTCCTGCTTAGAGCCTTTGATGGCTCCCATATCACCCTGAATAAAAGCCCAGGTCTTAGAGTGGCCCTCAAGGCCCCTCTGTGCCAAGCCTCCCATGACTCCCCACTACTCCATCCTGTTCCCAGACCCTCCAGACACCTTCAGGGCCTTTACAACTGGCTGGTTCCTCTGCCTGGGTGCTCTTTTCCCAGATAGCCACGTGGCTCCCTCTCTCCCCACATTCACACCTGCTCAGATGTCTTTTCCTCAAGGAGGCTCACCCTGACCCCCTTATTGAAAATAGCAACTCATTCCTCACCCCTCATCTTCTATCTCCCCCCTCAGCTCTCCTGAGCCCACCCCGACCCCTGGTTCCTTCTTTCCTTCAGAACACTTAGAGTCTCTGACGCGCCACATGATGTACTTCCCCGAGGTGCCATTGCTGATGATCTGTTTTCCTCTGTGGGGGGAGTTAGCCCTCAGCGTGGTGATCTTTGCCTCTTTTGTTTGCTAATGTGTCTCAGGCAGCTGTACAGAGCCTGGCATGTGGAATGAAGGGGAGGCCCTGTGAGGCACCAAGTTTCTGTCAAACCAAGGTGAGAAGGAGCACAGAGGAAATGTTTTGGACTTTCCTGCCCCTCAGAGAGATGAAATAGAAAAGAGGGAGTGGGGGCTGGGCTGGAGAGCCTCCTGTAAGCCTCTGCCCATCCCCAACCCAACAGAGAGGGGAGGCCCATGGCCTCTAGAGGTCTGTGGCCCCTGAGAAAGAGTTCCACCCCTGTCCCTGGTTAGGGCTGGGCAGTGGAGGACCCTGACCCACTGGGTCTCCAGCTGCCCTGAGAGCACTGTGGGGTTGGCTCCCGACTCCACACCTAGAATCAGGCGGGACAAGCAGAGTTGTGGGACACGTCTTCTCTACCTGTGGCCTCCTAAGGCGCCTCCAACCTGGTCCCAAGGGCCTCCAGGCACTCAGCTTTCTAAATAAAAATAGTGATTGCTGAAAAAAGTGAATGGCAGAGTGGTCTTAACAGAGGTGGACGCACTGCAGCTGTGGCAACACAGTGGCACCTTTCAGGCCACACAGGGCAAGCTTCTTGTCGAGACCTTTCTGGCCCTGATTCTTTAATGAATCTGGTCACAGGCAGCCCATCCTTCCTCCTCTCTCTCCCACTCCATCTGGGTATTAATTCCAAAAGCAGATTAGAAATGTCACTCCCACGGCTAGTCAAAGTGTCACCAAGGGTCTACATGCATTCCATTCCAAGAGGTCCAATTTCCTTCCCCAAATACTCATATATTGGGTTTTGAGAAACCTTCAATTTATGTGAATTTCATGAGCTTGACTATAACCAGGGTAACTCTTTTTTGAGCAAAACAAAGAAATGACCAATAAAAAAGAGTTTGTGTTCTTTTATGATTCCAAACAGAGTCTGTGCACGTCAAATCACCCAGGTCTGCACCATTTTCTGCTGTAGGCAGGAGAGGTGAGCCCAGGAAGGGGATCTGCAGGCTGTATGGGTGTGTCAGAGAAGATTAAGGCTTCTTTTCCTTCATTTCATTCTTCAAGAGTATATACTTTGAGGTTAAGTCCAGATGCTAGAAGAGTCCTTTGCGAAGCAATTTAAAAATACTCTGAA